GTTGTTTTACTAGCATGAATATATCCGTCGTCATCTCTTTCACCCTCCCAACAATCGTCTACAAATATCATTTCATTTGGTTTTATATTTAAAATATATATATACACACGAGTATATAATCCATACCCATATTCAAATATTTGTAACCAACATCAGCTAATCCATGTTTAATTAAAGCATCAGCGGTGTCTTTAATTAATTTCTCATCAATATTACAAAGAAACTAAATAATCATATATTTAATAAATCTAATTTTCGTATTTTGTAATTCATGTCGAATGTCGAAGTAAATAAATTACCTTATTCCAACTATTCCATCCCATTGGGGGAGTCCTACCAACTCCATTGTTTAAGCCCATAACTCCATAAGTAACGAAGTAAATTACATAAAATAACGTGATAAACATTGGGAAAGGAACTCCTGCTGGGCTATCAAATTTCATTTTTTTTTTTTTTAAAAAAAAAGAAAAAGAAATTTCGGTCCACGAAATCCATTCCATTTCATTTTATAATTTTATAATTAAAGATTTAATTTTTCCTAATTTATTATCGAGGCATCCTTTAACTGCACAAAGTTACCTTATTAAGATTATACAATGAATATTAAGATCCGTGATACAATATGACGGCAAATACACAAAGTTAAATTAGCAAGGTTCTCTAAACAAAGGAACAAAAAAATGAAATAGCAAATCACAATGGAAATCTTGATTTGAAATATGTTGATTTTTTAAATACAGTCAGTCAACAAATCAATCATTTATTCTTGCTATCCGTATGAGCTAGGCTTAATTAGTCAGAAACTTGAGTTTAAATTGTCCTAAACGAACAATCAAGCTTGATATTCAAAATATGGGGGCTAAGCTATTAAAATCACCTTACGGGATAAGAAATTGATTTTGAGATGATTAAAAAATGCTACGCCACAGTAAACATTTTTAACCAATAATAAATTGTTCTATTTTTAAATATTAAGATCAATTAATTATTAAGACGATACTAAAATTTTTACTATTAAATTATTATTTTATAATATTTAAAATTTTGCTATTATAAAATATACCACTTGAGATTTTGCTATTAAAATCACCCTACGGGACATTGTTACACTAATTTATTAAAAAAAGTTTAATATTAAAAAAATT